TTCAAGTCCTTATGTCGAAAACGAACTTTACAACTTTGGTGGGATCAGGGGGAGGATGGGATGGGAAGGGGAAACAAAGGAGGAGGCTACTACTATGCTTGATAAGAAATGTACTCATTATCTTGCCCATGTAATTGTAACCCCTCTGTACAGTATTTTCACAAGAAAAAAAGAGGCAAAATTGCCATGAGTTTGGTTATAGTGGGAAATGATGGAAAGGTGCGAACTTTGTCTTCAGGCCCCAGGCCAAAGAGGCTCCCTGGTTACTTCAGGGTAGCAAAGGACAATCTGTTTCTTGACTTTCTCCACAGCCCTCACTTATCTTGAGGAAAGGAATGGCAGAGCATTGCTGTGACTCTTTTTTGTCTGGCTTCCACTTGTTCGCTTACATATGGCCAGCACAAAAGCCACATAGGACTTTCAAGCCAGAGGTACAAAGCTGTCTTGTTCCAAAGCCTGCAGCTCTAGGGTAAAACCAGTGAGCAGAGCCAGGGTTCTTCTTAGATCTTCCTGTGAGCATTTAGAATGAGACAGAGGGAGTGGGTGGTGAACCCACATAAACCCTCCAAATGTGATCTAATTTCCATCCTAGCTTGAGGAGCCTGTGGTGATTCCCAAGTTAAGACTACACAGAATGAAGAGCAATAGATGAGATCACAGCACCAAAAATCCTTTAGTGAATGCTTAGCTGTAAGCCCCCAAATGGTCCTGCTCTATGATGGGCAATCTGTAGTTTTTGTTAAGCTTGGATTTGTTGTTTTCGTTGTTTTATTCTCAATACCAAGCATAGCACTAGGCACCGGATAGGAGCTGCATATTCACTGAATGAGTGAATACATCCAGCAATGTGTGGCATGGCATTTCAAAGAAGGAAAGTGAGTGGTGTGTACAGGTGACTGTCCGATTCTAGAACCACCAGCCCCATGGGGCTGTGGAACTTTCTATAAAATGAAATAAAACTTGAAATCCAAGTTCTCTTGAAATGTTAAGTTCTCAACAACCACATGTGGCAATTGTATTTGCAAAGTGCAAATACAAAGCAATTTTATCATTGCCGAAAATTCTACTGGTGTGCTTTGCTTTAAAATCCAACGCCTGCTCTTCTACTTCCTAAATGTATGAATTCTGACTTAGTCAAATTGCTGTCCTCAGTTTGTGTGACCATTCAATGAATATAAAAGCATTGAAAACAAGGCCAGGATATACTTTGTATTTTTACTATTGAAAATATTTTTGTCACGGGATGCTGCCTTGATAAAAAGTGACTGGAGGGCTGGGAAGGTGGCTCAGTGGTAGAGCGCTTGCCTTGCATGTATGAGGCCCTGGGTTCGATTCCTCAGCACCACATAAGCAGAAAAAGCTGGAAGTGGAGCTATGGCTCCAGTGGTAGAGTGCTAGCCTTGAGCTGAAGGGCTGAGGGATAGAGCCAGGCCCGGAGTTCAGGCCCCACAACTGACAAAAAAAAAAAAAAGTGACTGGACTTTTAAGCCATACACAATGTGTGCGTGTGATTGTTTTTTTTCCTACATGACACAACAGTGGGAGACTTACTCCGGATAATACTTTTGAGTATGAAAACTCTAATGTTACCACCTCCATTCACATCGTAATGAGGAGTATTCCTAGAACTGAGTGCTGGTCTTACAAGCTAGAACTCAAGTCCGATTCCCCCTAAGAGTGGAAATGTTCAGGATTTATTTGATGAGTCGTATGGGCCTAGCCCTTTCAGAGCCGGGCATTTGGTTGTAAATGAGGATACAGATCGCCATCAGGTTTGATTGGCAGAACAAGTACTTAAGAAAAAGGAGCCAGCCTCCTGCTGCCATGCCTTCTGTTCCTATCAGGAAGAAGCCAGCACAGTTACTCAGGTAATGCCAACCTTTGCTCCCGCTGGAGGAGTCCTGATGGACCTTTTGTGCTTTTTCTCTCTTATTCACAAAAAAAGGCCTGCATGACCTTTCCATTTTGTCTTAGATGATATGAACTAATATTTTATGACTCCTTAGGTATTTTTTTAAAGTTTCTATTTTAAAGTGTTTTTTTCCTTAATGAGATGTTAAATGAATTAATGAAGTATATCATCAAAATCATTGTATTCATTGTTTTGCTGAGATGAAATTGTACTAACATCACAACATATTAAATTTGTATTTCAAGAAGACAAGAAGGCTTGAAGGCTACTTGGAATTAAAAAACATGCCAAGGTCTATTGCTGACTCTGAAGTACATTATCCAACAGTATTTAGTGAACAGAATTGGGTGGCTGGATTTCTAAAGATGTCTTGGTTTTTCTAAGCAATGGGTATGCACTCATAAAATGATCTAGAGATTTCTCGAATATTGAGAAATGGTACTTCTCCCTTGTTAACTTTAGACACATTTTAATGCTGAATAAGACAATTTCTATCATTGTCTTTGGTAACTACAAGGCCAAGATGGGTTCATTGCTACATATAGAGTATGTTTAAGCTTTTGTTTCTTTATACTCAGAAGGCAGGGAGATTACTAGGCCCTGTTTAAGGCTAACAAGCCCATGAGTGTGTGGGGAAATTCTACACTATGGTAAAATACATGCAACCATATGTAGCAACATATTCTAAGCTAGTAATAATCTTAGCTATCCAGGGCAGAAATTAGTTTGATGCTTCCTGTAGCATCCTGATCTTGTTCAACTCTGAACAAATTTCACTTTAAATTATGATTATAATGCTGATGTGAGTGGAGTATAAATAATTAGAAAAGGTTCTTTAAGCAAATCCAGACAGTGTTAACAAGTACCAATTTTAGCCTTGGTAATGAAATGAACCTTCCATTTTTCCTTGAAAATTTCATCTAACTTTACTGGATCATAAGCTTTGAAAAAAGACATTTGTATGTGATGTCAGTTTAATTGTCTCCCGAACTCTGTGTGTGTGTGTGTGTGTGTGTGTGTGTGTATTTTACTAGAAATCATGCCTATGGCCCCAGGCATGCTAGAAGTGCTCTAGTACTGAGCTGTCCTCAAACCTCTTAGTGCAATAATCTCTCAACAGCTTAACAGTAAAGCTGTCTTTTAATGCTACCAAGTAACTACCATTGCTAAATAATTTTGTTTTTCCTAAAAATATGTTCATAATCTTTGTTTTTCTGGGAATTATCTTAAGACGACTTATAAAAATGAAGTTATTACAAATGCCCCAACCTCATGTATATGAGTGGTCAGCACACAAAATGTGTTGTCTCCAGTCCATCTTCTCCGGTTCATACATTCCTTGTCCACGGGAGTTCTGTTCCATTCCTCAGTGTACTATTTAGGGGTTTCATCCATGACAACACTCAGTTAAATCTAAGTGATGAGAACTGGCAAGGCAATTTCCAAATTTTCTAATCTGAGGCTGAACGCTTTTTATAATCCACATTTCCTGCATATTTATTCTCTCTCTCTCTCTCTCTGCAAATGACATTCCATTGCTCCACTGAAAACCTTTATCCTTTCACCCTCCAAACCAAACCAGTCTACTATCAGTTCCTCTTCACTTAGTAAATCTGTTCCTTCTTTCTCCAAGACCACTTGTCTGTTTGTTTGGATTGTTGCTGCTTTTATTTCCATGGCAAAAACGTTGAATGCTTGTAACTGGTCTCCCTGCCTCGTTTTCCTTCAAAATCCATCTTCTCTGTATGTTTCAACAGTGCTTTTTCTCCTATGTAATAATCGCTGCCACAATGAGACCATTTTCTTGGCACCTCATTGATTACAGAGCCAGATCAAGAAACCAGACTAGGACTTTGCAGTGCATTTCTAGCTTGGCCTTGCTATGCAGGTACTAATTGCATTTCAATATTTTTTTAGCACATTTATGGTTCATGCATCTTGGATCATTTAGCTGCTTTCCCATTTTTTGAAAAAATAGTGTTATCTCCAGTGGGATATAAACTCCCTAAAGGTAAAGATTTTATCTCACTACTGTATACTTTGTGCACAATACAGGTGTTCCAAAGTAGGGTGAAAAATTGTTAGTCAGTCAATATATTATTTCAAAGTTATGTTCCAAACTATCTCTGTAATGCAGCCTCCTCTTTCTTATTATCAGCAAGGTGATTGCTCGCTCCTTAGTGATTATATTTGCCCATGTCTATTTACTTGAGTATCTTGATGACTCTAAATGACCATCATGACACCAAGTAATTATAGGTAACCATGAGTACATGGGTAAATAGTGAATCCATGATTGATAAAATAGGTAAAGAAGAAAGCAAAGAGCTGAAGTAGCCTGGGATCTCTCTCTCTCGCTCTCTCTCTCACACACACACACCACTGCCATTACCACCACCACCACCCCAGGCTCATAAGGAATGACACAAAAATTACCCTGCACTATCAAAATGTTTCAAGGATTCTTCTTGGTAAGCTATAGATGTTAAGCTAGTGAGTTGTTGCCCTTGAACTCACCTTTGTAAAACATAGTTTAAAAAAAGACAGTCTGGATCATAAAATAGGTAGGTTGTAAATCTACCAATTTGAGATTTTTATAATAGGAATGCTGATTTTTGACCTTTCATGAGCTTCTGCTTTTATTACTAAAAGGGATCTACTCTTTATCATAAAAATCCTATGATTTATTGATATTTTATATTCCATAACATACTAGGAATCTCAGCAAAAATAAAGGGTTTCCTCAGTGGAGTTTCAGATGTGTCTGTGAGGTGAGAGGCAGGCAGAGGAGAAATGGTAACTTGCTTCATTCCTGAGACTTCTCTTTAGATATAATGTATATTGCCAAGCTTAGATTTGGATGTTTCCATTTCTAGAGTCTACAAGGCAGTGACCACTAGCTCTTCTAATGGGATGGTCAATGGGAACCAATAACTGTCTTGCTGTTTGTTAAAGCCTTTGTAGTCAGTGTGCCTCAGGTTTGATAGAGCCCCAAAGCCTGGATGGTGTTCTATTAGCCCCAAAATTCCTTTAGAAAGAAAACTGGAAAATTAAAAATGTAAAATAACACATAAGAACTAGACACCTCAAGCATGTAATTGTATATTTATTTCTCTTTTTAAAGAACACTCCTTAATGTAATTCAATATACAAACTTGGTTTCACAGAATTATAATCCACTATATAGCACAAAGATAACCCAGATTGTGTGTGCGTGCACACACGTGTGCGTGCATGTACACGTTGCTGTGTCACTCCCTCTGTACTTCCAGACCTACAAAGAATCTTTCCATCTTTGACACACATCAAAAGCCATTCTGAAATGTTAAATACAAAAAGCATCATCTTTCCAAAAGTTTCTCTTCCATGAAAACTTCTCTTCTCCATTCCCCCTGAGACAGCCAGGAGCGTGACACTTTACCCCATTCAAAAGGGTAAGGGGACTTCTCCTAACGCTGGTGTTCACCCTGTTACCTTGTGGACAGGCCGGTGGGAAGGGTCTGGGAGCGGGTCTCCGCCCCCTTCCTGGCTTCCACATTCAGCCCTCAGAGTCCAAGCCCAACCCCTCCATGTATCCTTAGTTACAGTTGCCACCCTGTGCTGCAAGAACCAAGGAGATTGCTAACCTCAGGTCTCCTCCATGGGCAGCGCACGGCACTGCCTGCCAAGCCACCGGGCCGGCCGATAACCAAGCTCTACCACAGTCCCATGTGCTCTGTCACTTTGATTTCTAAAGACACCCTAGCATAGGTCTGTGGCAACCTAGTGTCCAATTGAGTTACATAAAATTGTACCAGTGATGCACTTGTACATATTTACATGGGGTGGAATGTTTTCCCATATTTTAGATGAGTATATAGATCAACATGTTCACGTAAGACCAAATACTTTTAATATTATTTATAACTGATTTATAAAGCTTTGAAAAAACTCACAATAGCACATTGTTTACTTTAATGCTGTACGGTACTATCAGTTTAAAATCACAATCAGCACTTAAGTTATAGTCAATCCAGCAAACAATAGACAAAAAAATTTACAAGAACTGACTGATACATCCTTTATCTTTTTTTTCTTGTAACTAATGCATAAGTGCATAATAAGATACTCTAGTTTAAATATCTTGTTTACAATGTACATTTTTGTTCTAGTTACGCAACAGTAAATCCCATGCTTCACATAGAAAAGCAATCCACAACATTAAGAAAAAATGTATAATTTATGAAACAAAGTAAATAAATATTAGTATTACAGAATCAGAGCTGTACATAAAAGCTGTTCAGTTTTTATCATATAAAAATATGTTTTAGTGCAACCTCACATATATATTGATGCTGTTTTGCTTTACATCATTTCGATCCAAGTGTCCAAAAAAGGAAAGAAATTACATTTATTACAAAGCAGATACACAAATTCTAAAATATGTACAAAGTACTGCTAAAAAATGCTTATAAGAATATAAGCAAAGTAAAGAAAAGGCACAAACATCTGTACAATTTTAAAAGTACCAGACCCAATAGGTTAATTTCAAATTTTGTTTTGGTCAGGCTCATGATGACGTGTTAATTTCCCTAATTCTTTTGAAATAACAAAAGTATATATAAGAGCAAACTACCGTAACTTAGGACAGGCATGCTATAAACTTGATTACCTCTATTCCTAGAAAAACAAAAACAGAAAGAGGGGGAAATGTGAAAAATGAAAGTTCCCATGCATCTTCCATCAAGGTAGCTGACTCTTCTTTGAAGGTCCCTTGCCTTCCTCTGTGCTTGAAGGAAATTCCTCGCTTCTGTCAAAGTCCGATGGGCCCTGGTCCACACAACTCTGACTGTAAAACGTGGGGGGAGCTAATGCAGTCTGGGATGTACCAAAGTTGTCCTTTTCAGCATCATGCAAGTCAGGGTGGGAGGCTGAGGTACCGGGTTGACCTGGCTCAGGCCCACTAAAGTGTCTAATGCTAGCGTGTGCACTTTCCAAGGGTTTCTGGAGGGGATCGGGCGCCCGGGCTGGCTGATCGGCCCCCAGCAGGGCTGCCTCTTCTGTGCCAATCCGGAGAGAGGCAATGGCTTTTGTACAAGTCTGGATGTTTTCTTCCTGTTCCCTCTCTGTCGAATTTAGGCTATCTTCCGAAGTGCTCTGCTTCATCAATAGCCGAGGAGAGGAGGAAGTGGTGGGCAGACCCGATGCCGACAGAATGTGAGGGGCTCGCTTCTCCCGCGGCCTGGAGAGAGCATAGGGGTCCTTCAGGAAGGGCTCCCCTAGCCCTCCTCCTTTCCTCTCCTCGGAGCCCTCCACGGGCAGAGGCAAGGTGGGTGGAGGATGTAAACCAGAAAGGGCGGGCGGCATGGAGTGAACCATTTGGATCCCACCAACTGGCACCATGGGGATAGGAGCTCGCACTTGTTGTTGAGAGTGAAGTGGAAGATGACTAAAGACATAGTCAGTAGGACCCTCAGGGAAAAGGCTGGAGCCTGGATGTTCATAAGCACCTTCTTGGTCTCCATAGAGACTGAAGTAAGGAACCTGAGGTAATCCTCTTCTTAAGTTCTGTACAGGAAAAGAGAGAGCACAAGATTCAGATCCAGTGGTGCTTCCTGCTGAGTCGAGTGACTTCATGCTCACTAACTCAACTGGCAAGAGTTAGCTAGGCAGAGTAGCTACCTATCCCTATAGCAACTTTCCACTTCTTGGATCAGAAGGGGTCTCCTAGTTGCATCTTCTAATCTCGAAATGAGGGTGTCACTCTTGCTGTTTTTAAACAGCAAGATAATAACTCAGTGGATTTGCCATTGGAGACACATCATAGGATGTATGGTCTTCATAAGAGAAAGAGAAGACAACAATGGATAATCGATAGACAAAAACAAACAAACAACAAAACACCTAACCCAAAATATTAACAAACATTAGTGATGTTAGAGATGTGGAAAGAGGATGGGAGGGAGGACATTGATCAAAATGCATTGTACGCACAAACTGACATGGTCAATGGAAACTACCTAAAAATAATGATAAAAATAATGCTAATAATGGGGTTTCAAATTCAAAAGACACTGGTCTAAATGTCCAATTCAAAAAGCAAGTTTTTCATCAAATCACAAACCAAGCCCAGTTAAATCTTATTCCAGTAGTCTCTTCCTAAGAAAACTATCTGTCTGAGTAGTTTTTAACAGAACATTCGCATTCAGCTTGCTAACTAGGAAACTAAGATAATTGGGTCTTGATTCTTCTGTTGATATTTTCACTTCAATATTTTCTTGGAATTCATGAATTAAGAATATTTCAACATGCCAGGCACTAGTGGCTTGAGCCTGCAATCCTAGCTACTTAGGAGGCTGAGATCTAAGGATCATTGTTCAAAGCCAGCCTAGGCAAGAAAGTCCATCTCCAATTAACCAACAAAAAGCTGGATGTGGAGCTGTGGCACAAGTGGTAGGGCACTAGTCTTGAGCAGAAAAGCTCAGGGACAGTACCCAGGCCCTGAGTCCAAGCAAATAAAGAAACAACCAAGCAAATACACACTTGAGCTGGAGGTGTGGCTAGCACACACAGGCCCCGAGTTTAAACCCTAGTACTGAGGGGAGAGAAAAAAAAGTTTAAAATCTAGAGCCAAAAGTACAGATCTTCTTACTTCAGTCCTGAAAATGGAGAACTTACCGTCTATGTATGTTTCTGTAGCAAAATTCAACTATATTGTCAGATTAGTGGGTTTTAAGGGTATCTAATCTTACCTCATATGGATCACTCTATTTGAAAGAACTTGTTTGTTTGGTTTGAGAACTTAGATAAAATCTTCTCAACTATGGTAGCAATCCAGGAGAAAGACAAAACTATTCTAATTCATTTCAAAGATGTTTCTGTTTTAAAATTCAAGCAATACTCTCTACCCTTAAGCATTCATCTAGCTTTATTTAGACCGGAGTCCGGCTCAGGAACTATAAATTATGCATTATCTCTATTACTGTGTGCCATGCTTGGCATTTACTCTGCTCTGGGCTACACTATATTCAAACTGAGGAAAAAAAGAGATTTATTCTGGAAATACGTATGAAATGGTATAATCACCAGGGTGTCATAAGCTAGGGAAGGTGTGAATTTTGAATGTATTAGGAAGAATCAATTAAATGTCTCATACACACAAAATCTTTCTCATATTTGCTCTGGTTCAGAAAAGGGCATTCTATCACACTCTATTTAAGGCAGAAGAACTATCGTGCGTATGACTCCAATCTTTGAAGATAATGAAGTGAATTTTCTCTTAATCACATTTATCAAAATTTCAAGTTTAAAAAATATGGCATGGCCATCTTTTCCATTTTACTTCTGACTGTAATTTTGAGACATCTATTGCATATAACTCATCAGAAAGTGTATCTCAGGGGTGGGGGTCGGGGGAGGGAGAACTGGGGGAGGGAGAACTAAAGAAGGGATGGGCGGAAGCCAATAGGAGACACGAACCATTACAGAAAATCAAGTGGAGTGTTGAATACACTGAATATGTCCTAAAGCTATTCATCTTTTCAACAGTCTATCAGTAAGGGAGCTTTGGGGGCAGCATGCAAGAGGAGGGGTGACGGATCTGTGTTTAGTCACTGGTGGGGCATTACCAAGCTTGAGATCAGCCCTGTCCTGGGAGTGCTAGCTGCAAAGACAGTCCACTCCAGCATTCACTGCAGATGAATGGCTTTAATTCTTCCAGGGACAGATATGTGCACAGCCCACCTCACTGGCTGCCAGAATTTTGTAAACTGTGACCAAGGGGTGAAGTGACTTGTCCATGATCACAGAGACAACGTCCATCCTGCTCAGGGGCCATCCAAACTTGTCTTTTTTATGGAAAAGAAAAAGAAAGACAAGTCTAGATTTTATTTTTCCTATTTATGAAAGTAGAAATGTATTTGTTTGCTTGTTTTTAAAGACAAGACTAGAAACTCTATGTCATTTCATCCTTACGCCTGAGACATACACGGCACATCTTCAAAAATTATCAGGCAACAATGCCTCATTGCTGTAATTCTAGCCACTCAATCTAAGTGTCATGGTTCAAAGCCAGCCCAGACATGGAAGTCTGGAGAGTCTTACTTCCAATTATCCACCAAGAAGCTAGAAGAGGAGCTGTGGCTCAAGTTGTAGAGCTAGCCTTAAGTGGAAAAGCTAAGGCAGTGTCCAGATCCTGAGTTCAAGCCCTTGTACTTACATTTTTAAAAAAATCATGGAATGAACACTCTAATTATCTATCTTGAAATAAAAACCAATTAGAAGGTATAGAGCAGAAATGACAGTGAAGTAGGAAATGCAGTGACACATATTATCTCTAAACCCACTCCCTGGACCCTGTGTCCAAACTAAGCTAGAAAATCCAGTTATCACATTGGGCTCTAAGGTCTCTACACACAAGAGTCACCACCCTGTGAGTTCTCCATCAGAGACAAACAAAAAGACAAAACACTGCTATCAGGAATTCTCAGAAAGGATTATTGGTAATATTATTCCATTTCGATAGGTTCATACATTATTAGAGAGGGTAAAATCTTCATGTGACATAATCAACCAGGAGAAATATCTCTTGGGGCACTGTTAAGTCTAGTCTGTTGACACAGGCATGTATCTATTTTGCCCTGACCTCACAATGGCATGAGAAAACATAATGTGGGAACTGCTTGGAACCTAAATTCCTATTGAACAATTCTCAGATCTCTTCTCTCATATCACAAGAACAAAGTAACAGGTGATAGATTCTCCAAAAAGAATGATATTGAGGAAGAGACTTAAGACTTCATCAATGGTAAAATATAAAAGTCTAGCCAGGCGCCAGTGGTTCATGCCTGTAATCCTGGCTACTCAGGAGGCTGAGATCTGAGGATCACGGTTCAAAGCCAGCCGGAGCAGGAAAGTCTTATCTCCAATAAATCATTAGAAAACTGGAAGTGGTGCTGTGGCTCAAGTGGTAGTGCGCTCACCTTGAGCTGAGCAGCACAGGAACAGCGCCCAAGCCCAGAGTTCAAGCCCCACAATCGACCAAAAAAAATGTATATATATACAAATATGCCTATCAAATATACAGCTGAATATATATTTTAAAACAACATAATAGAACTAAACAGCAGAATTAAAAAGAAAACTGGAGCAAACTCAGTTACTAATCAAACCAATCTCTTTTTGACAACAAAATTCTAAGAACATTTCCAAGAATTAGATGAATTCCTTTAAATCTGCTCCTTCAATTCCTTTGCCTAATGTGATTATGAGTTATCATTTTTACCACAGCGTGGCTGTATTCATGGCTTTGTTTTTTGATTTACTTGACTGAATATGCTCTAGTACCTCACACAGGCCAGCCCCAGTCCACTGGGCCAATGCTAGCATGAGATGTGCAGGGAGAACAGGCTGCACCTGTGTCTCTACCAGGGAAAGGATTTGACGCTCATCCCAGCGCTGCAGTCACACAACTGGAAGGATTTACGGCTCTCTATTCAAGCTGCAGCGGCAGAGATTGCAGAAGATCTTGCCTTTCAACTTTTCTAGGACACAAAATCTTACAGAAATGTTCTTCTTTCTCTTAGCTTATTAATTTGTTAGATTTGCAGATAAGATGTGTCTGGATTGGTGCTCATGTCTCTGGAGGATCTGCGCTACCCAGGGTTGGGGTGGGCATTGGAGGTGTTAGAAAACAGCAGGGAGCCTTCCTAAAGTTTAGAATGACAGCCTGAGCCTATGATTCTAGGTGGTGGAAGGAGATGGCAGGGAGGAAGTGGCTACCAAGACTTAGACAGGATTGAGCTAGGAGCTAGCCATGCTTACGATGGCTGGCAAGGATACTGCTACAGAATCCAGGGCACTGAGAGTACAAGAAGAAACGAAGACCAGGAAACCAAAAACCAAGTCGAGCACAAACTCCTAAGCTCTCACACTCCGCCTGTGCTAAGTGCCTGCCTTACTTTTGCGAATCCTCCACCAACAGAGACGCAACAATAGTCTGCTGCGTCAGAGCAGAAGAGGGGCTTTTCTATGGACTTGCATTAAACCTTTGGCTTCCAAATAACCCATGCCCATCTGCTGTCATCTTAGTCTATAATGAAGATGCGCACTAGAAATCTTGGAATGTTGTCCCCTGGCTCTTTCAGCAAGGGTACCAGCTTCACGTGTCCTTTCACTCACAGCAAGAGCATTTTAAAATATAGCTATTTTACATTTTAATTTTAAATATACAGTGAGTGCATTTTTCAGCAAGAAGTTTTGGACTCCTCTCTTGGAGAAGAGTATGTGTCAACGATACCTAACACTCTGTGTCTCTGCAATCAGGCATTCCAGTTGCTCCATTTTTGTTAGTCACATAAAGCCCAATGTTTATAATTAGTTAAGCTTCAAAGGCTTCACCTGTTCCCAACTGGAAGCATGCTACTGCTCTGCCACAATGTTACTCTGGGAGTAATGCCACAGCTGTGCTACTGACAACAGCATGCAATAAAAATGTCTGCTATTTTCAGCCAGCAAGTTCACTCCTCCCCTAGCTCCAGGTTATAACGCATACCACAGCAATGTGTTATTAAGAGGCTCCAGTGAGCTGCAGCTTATACAGGAAGAGAGAGTGAGGTATACTTACAGGAGGCCCCAATACAATTGGTTCTGCTTGCAAATACTGCCCCATGGATAATGGTGGGTTGTGGTATAAAGCCCTTCTGGGGGACGGTGCTCTTATGGTAGTCATGTATCTTCTCTCTCTTCTGGGAGAGAGGTCTCTTCTCACTGTGATGTCTTTCCCAGGAGACAATGGCCTCCTGGGAGACAAATGCCTTCTCGGGGAAGCATCCCTCTGAGACATCTCTCTCCTCAGTGCAGCTTCCTTTCTTGGTGACAGATGTCTCATGGGTGACAGCTCTCGTCGAGGTGATAGATGTCTTCGAGGTGACAAATCTCCTTTGGGTATCAGATACCTCTTTGGCGAATTATCTCGACAGGGAGAAGAATCATATCCAGGTGAGGAATGGCGGCTCGAGGGGGAGAAGTCCCTTGGGGAAGAGCTGGGCTCTGAAGATAGCATGCCTTCCTCATCCATGACGCTGGGGATGTCCAACCTGTCTTTGTCTGGTTCCGAATCTGTACTTTTGCTCTGGAATAACCTCTGGTATTCTGTCATCTGAGTATCTTCACACGAGTCACTGGGTGTCATAAGCTGAGTAACCTGAATACTTGGCAGAGTCACCAAATAGCTGATCAAGGAAGAATGTCCCAGGGAACTGTCAGAAGGAACTCCATGGGGTACGGTGCCAACATTCACAGGCAAGGAGGAGAATCTGGGAGGCTGAGGGCTGGTACTTCTCGATCTTGTTTTTGGTGTCAAATCTCCCTGGTCATCAAAGTCATCATCATCTTCATCATCGTCATCATTATCATCTCCGTCTTCACCATCCGATTCCTCAGCATCTGAGAACTGGTGGTCAGTTGAAATGCTGGACATACTATGCTTCTCAGCTGCTTTGTGCAAATCTTCCATATTTTCTAAAACAAGCATTTAAGACAAGACAGATCAAGATCCAAAAGCTTTCCTTACCCAGGCACAGTTATACCTCTGATTTCAGATAGTTTTCATGGGGTACACGCATTGCTTCTAATGTTTCTATGTATGTGTTTGGATTCATCCTTGCCCTACAGTAAGGACTTCAGAATAGGACCTTAATGCTCAAATATTACTTTACCCATAGAAAACCCCCAACAAGTGATATTACTTTACTTATTTGGTTGCACAGGAGTTTGCTTTGTGCTGGCTAGGAAGGCACTCTCCCATTTGAGACCTTTTGGATCTTCCTTGATCCTCCTGATCTCTCTGCCTCCTGCATAGCTAGGATTATTTCAAGTGTGAGCCACTGCACATGCTTCCAATTTACTTTTGACGTGAAGTTTGTAATTAAATGAAATGCTGTCAGTTTTTTTAAAATAGCTACATTTCTTTTTTCACTGTGCCACAAATCTCCCCACACATGGCGAAGAGGTAAGAGAGCCCGAGGGTGACACACCTGCTTCCTCAGTTTCTGTATCATCCACCGATGTCATCGATACTCCCAACTCCAGGCATTTTTTCATGTGTGCTTTAGATTTCATATGTTTTGTTAGGTTTCCTAGAACACACAACCAGAAAAGAGAGAAATCAATTGGTTATCAAATGGTGAAGACTGTTCCAAATCCAACAATGAAGTGAACGAATTTGGAATAACATAGATGTGTTGTTATCGATTACATCTGGTTTCTAAATCTTGAGTTTTCTTTCTCACAATAGAGCAGTAGAAGTCTACAATCACATCATTTCAAAAGTAGCAAGACAGGACATCTTAGCCTTTCTGTCCCCAGGGGGCCCTGAAAACTTTCCAAAAGGTCAGACTGGCAGAACAAAGCAACACAGTCTGGGTCACACACCTCAGAGAAATTTCACAATGAAATAATCTTATTGTGCCCAATGAATTCTAGACCTTCTGTCATTGATCATATAAAGATTAATCTACAAGGAACCTCACTGGTCAGAAGAAAAATTACACCAACCAATGTGAGAGCCAACCTTGTAAATGAATCGAAAAATCCACACAAATTCTACCTAAGCTAATTACTTATAGGGGGTAATATTTCCGTTATTCAATATTTGTGTATTGGCAATATGTACTCTAACTTACAATAGCAATTTCTAAAATTCTAAAGCAGCAAGATTACCTTTTTGGTGTATAGATTATGAGAAAATTTGAAAATACTAGTATAATCATCCTTACTCCATGGAAGGAGAATAGGAAAAGAAGGAAGAAAAGAGGAGAGTGAACAAAAGAAGAAAAGTAGAAGAGGAGGAGGAGGACAAACAGAAGGAGGAGAAAGAAAAGAAGGTGAAGAAAGATATTTTACCGCCCTTATGATTCTGAGACGCATGCAGATGCTCATAGTCTCACAGAGTAAAATCTCAGAATAAATTTTTCTTGCTAAAACTCCAGGATGATATATTAGAGGCAGGTTTAATTCAATTTTCTAAAATATGTCTTAAAACAGGGCTGGGAAGGTGGCTCAGTGGTAGTGCACGCATGAGACCCTGGGTTTGATTCCTCAGCACCACGTAAGCAGAAAAAGCAAGAGGTGGAGCTGTGGCTCAAGAGGTAGAGCGTTAGCCTTGAGCTGAAGAGCTGAGGGACAGCGCCCAGGCCCAGAGTTCAGGCCTCACGACTGACAAAAAAAAAAAAAAAGTCTAAAAATGTATCTTCTTCTAGTTTCATACAACTAATACAAATATATACCCCATGAACTCATATGCACAGGAAGATCTATCATTTCTTATTTCTGTGAATTTGCCCTGTGTTCTAAAATAAAGGTTTTTATTTTCTTATCTCCTAGGGAACCTCTCAGTAAACATATAAAAGTCACATTTGTGCAAAAGTGGAAGGTATTTAAAGGATCGTATGCAAACCCTTTCTACCTTTTTTTGTTGCTCTAATTGACGTATGCATGTTATATAAATACCTTTCTAATAAAGAAATAACAGCTATGTGGAAATGCTCTATGTTTACATTTCTGTCACATCAATACAAAAATTTAGGATCTGGAGCTATAAAACAGATATACATTTCTCTATTGTGTTATTTCATCTGGTATTTATCTGACTTCATGGTGGCAGATTACTTGACATTCAAATTAAAAGTTAAGACACTGGAAATGGTGAGAGGTTGGTGAGGGATGTCCACAGAATCCAGTAGATCCGATGGAAAACACATTTTTCTATACAAAAGTCAAACACCCTCGAATGCACTACTGTCTGAATTTTAGAACATCAGACTTAGTGAACTAACTTATGGTTTGATGATAGAAATATAACTGAAGCAACCTTTGAGGTAACATATTTTTATATAAATTAGCCTGTTAAAAAATAGACCTTAAAATGTGAAAATGATAAAATGTCATTTCTGGGTATGCCTAGTTCTGAAGATTAACAGTTGTGGCCTTAGAGTAAGGAATTGTCTCTGTGCTGATAAATACTCAGAACAGAAGCTATCTGATTTCTATGCATAATTAATGCACCTGTGAATGGATGGCGGGCCCACCTGGGAGTCTGTGGATCTCTACATTATTTATAAGTTTGAAACTGACCATGAGCACAGGACTTCTCCCCAGCTGCTGCCCTGTTTTACTACTGCTCTGCATGCACTGTCTTCCTGCAGTCTTAATACTGATGCAAATATTATCTAGACCACATAACATTTCCAACATGAAGTAATGGTTATCCAGGCAATTCTTAGCCACTTCCTTTGGAGACAACTAGCCTGGCTCTACATCTATAGCTCTTAATTAGTCATAAAAGGAGCCTTGCAGTCTCACATAACATCCTTTGATCACCACTGACATGAGGGAGGAAAAAAAAAAACATTTCATGGAGTTACATTGACACAAACAACATTATCTTACTGTTTTTATGTTTGTTTTATGTTGTGGGTTTTTTTATGGTGGGAGAGGAGTACTTGGATTTGAACAAAGGGCCTCATGTTCCCTAGACAAGTGTTCCATTACTTGAGCCATGCCCTCAATTCCTCTTGCTTTACTTGTCTTTCATATAGGGTCTTAGGCTTTTTGCTTTGATTGGCCTGGGACCTCAATCCTTCTACCTTTGCCTCCCATATAGCTGGAATTACAGGCATGAATCACCATGCCCAGCTTAGTCTTTGAGGTAAGATCCCATCTTTTTTCCCCCGAAACTAATGAGGCACCATGACCTTCCTATCTCTGCCTCTGAAGTAGCCTGGATTACAATTGTAAGTTATTGCCTGGTCAAAACCATCTTACTATTGATTAAGGTGAGTTACAAAGTAGTATTCATAATATTAAATAGTCATAGAAAAAGTATTTTTCCTCTAACCCCTCCCATACTTGTACCTTTCGTTTTGAAGGCAAAGTTACATAACTTGCATACATAAGGCCGAACATCTGTATGCGTGCGTATGTGTTTTTTCAGCATGCTTGGTTTCTTACAGCGAATCCCACATTCTTCACAAATATACTTTCCTCGCCCACGTCCTCTCACATATACATAATCTTCGTTTGATTTATACCTGTTTTGAAAAGAGGCAATCCAGTATGGTTTCAAATACTCTTAGCATGTTGTGTGCACCAAGCCCAAAGCTAATCATTGCATGGCCTGGGAATCTTTCTCAACAATTAGTCAACTCCCCTTTCATGAAATTCATACAGTAAATGACCAGAAGAATTAGACAGTCAGCTGATTACTGCAAACAAAATGTAATCCTACATGAACTGACTGTGCTATTAAGTGTAAATTTATAGGTGTAGAACATACACGCTTCAGAGGGCATACACATACCCAAACAGTTACAGACCTGGGCTTACCCACTCTTTGATTCCAGATAGCCTTCCATCAGGGACAGCCAAAAGGGATACCAATGTATTGGAATCATCATGCTTCATGCATCATTTGTTAACATTACATCATCTAAAAACGTACATGTACAGACCCTCTCAACATTTGCTAAAATAAGTGTAACTGGTAATAGAGTTTCCTTCACTGCTAGCTTCTACTCTATTTTTACCATCCCAGCATACAAGTGCCTCAGAAATTCCTCATTTAACACAGGCTGAGCTCATCTCACCAACTGTTGTCTACAGCTTTGAGTTGCTCTTCCAAGGGATCATGAATCTGTACCGATGTGGAGTCTAAATTTCAATTGGCTTCTTGAAGGTAGGGTTGCATAATGAAAACTAGAGGTTCTATTTTTAATACAATCTACATTTTTCCCAGAAAGATTTTCATAGAGAGGTTTGAAAGGCTATCTAAGTTCAACTATTCCAGACACAGATGAACAAATGATTAGCTATATCAAGAGAAGATAGCTACCCAGTGGTCTAATATTTCATTGTGATTACAATACAATAACACAGGCTATATCATAAAGTGAAGTGGAGGCTTACAGAATAATTAGTTCAATGAGTAGCCTTAGCTTTTAAATCACAGCTAGAACTGTAAGTAAAATTATTAGTATGATGTCATTTTAGAAGGTTTTCCATTCAGAGGGTTCCCCTTATAATTTCTAAAGGTAAACTATCATTCAGGATGCCTCCTTTACTGTGCACTTACTTAACAGAAACCAGATTCATAGTTTTTCATTCTAAGAGAATAGCATATTTCCCATCCATCAACAGCAAGGAAACCAAACTCAACTTTAATCATCCAATCAATGGAAGGATTCATAAGAGAAAAAAAACATTTATACATTTTAATTCCAGTTCTGTTATGGATGCTATACAATCCTAACACTATCTACTTTATGGCCAGTACTAATCCAAACGAGAGTTAACTAGAGTCAAATATATGAGTAAGTTAATTTTTCCTGGCTACCTTCTTTAATTTTATACTTTCAACAAGAAATTCGAACTTCAACTTGTTCTTCAAAAGTAGTCTTTCATCTCACATTTTATAATACAATAGAACAAAATCTAAAGATGCAAAATGCCTTTCACCATTCCATTTCCCTATTCTGAAATTGCTTAAGGAATATAAAATAAAAGAACTTTACAGAAAGCCAGTTTTCTTGAAGGGCTACTCCGAGCTTACTACAGCCCATCATTGTGCCTTCAATGCCTCAGATTAACTTCTTTCCATAATAAAACACAGTAAAATGGTTGGGTAAAATTTAGCTGTACATTAGAAAAAAAAACCTGTACAAATAAAAATATTTGCAATAAGCAGTCTGAAGACCCAAAAATCTACATGATAGGCTACTTTAAAAGACTGAAAATAAATCAAAAGATATAGTTAACTAAATTATTAAATTTATCAAAAGAGAAACAGAAAAGAAAAGAGGAGGGGAGAGGGAAGAGGAGGGGAAGGAAGTCAGCTTCTATCACCAGCCAAATTTAGAAATGTGACTGGAAGTGGAACACACTTAAGAAGACACTCTTTTTTCCACATAAAATTCCAGGACCATTTACTTTGTCATACAACTGGACATTTCCACTTGCACTTACCCTCCTTCAAAGATTTTAATTCGTATTGGCTCAGTTTGTTTTGATCCAATATCTTTATCTCCATGAATATCTCCTTTCCCTCTTTCCTTTAAGATATTCCCCACTAATTTCCTTTCTAGTTTGCTGCCAAATATAAAAGATGCATCGGGTTTCATCTGCAGGACAAAAAGAGAGAGGAACTTCACATGCTTTCTCCAAGACACAGGGGCTGGTTACCTAAGATATGGGACACTGAATAAAATGAGAGAAAAATGATATAACTTCAACCCAATAATTCACAGGTACTCATTATCATTTATTCTGTACAACTCTAAAAAGAGACTTCAAAACACTCTAAAATAGCAACCAAAACAATCTGCAATCTATATATTAAACAGTCTCAAAAATATTGGAGGGAAAGTAATAACTGATACAAATTTAAACATTCAAATCCTAGCCAGGCACCACTGGCTCATGCCAGGTACTGATGGCTCATAAGGCTGAGATCTGAGGATCTTGCTTGGAAACCAGCTTGGGCAGATAAATCAGTGACTCTAATCTCCAATTAACTAGCAGAAAGCCGCAAGGTATGGCTTAAGTGGTAGAACAGTAGCTTTGAACAAATGACCAAGTAAGAGTGCAAAGCCCTGAGTACAAGCGCCAGGACAGGCACACGTTCAAAAAAAAAAAAAGAAAAGAAAAGAAAAAAGAAGCCGGGTGCTGGTGGCTCATGCCTGTAATCCTAGCTACTCAGGAGGCTGAAATCTGAGGATCGAGGTTCAAAGCCAGCCTGGCTGGAAAGTCTATGAGACTCTTATCTCCAATAAACCACCAAAAACCGGAAGTGGCATTGTGGCTCAAGTGGTAGAGTGCAAGGCTTGAGCTGAAGAGCTGAGGGACAGCGCCCAGGCCCAGAGTTCAAGCCCCATGACCCCCCCCCAAAAAAAATCCTATATTCATTTTTAATTTGCCATGAATTTCAATATGCTTCTTATTAACATTTTTGTAATAATTTTACATGTAAAAAAGTAATTGTCATACAAGAACAAACCTGCTAAGATTTTTGGAAAAGTTGATTTTTAAAGAGAAAATAAATGGAGTAAACATCTCAGAGAAAAATGTTGTCCATGACTATAAGGCCTATTGGGCAATCACAGTTCTGTCAGTGTTCACACTTCCTTCCTGATCTGATCTTCCATTTCTGGATCCCTTTCCCTGTTTTATGTCTCCGTTTTGCAATTCCCTGAATTCCTCTCTGATATTGGCCATATGGGAGAACAACCCATGGGGATTGTTCTCAATGGGAGAAACATCATGGCAGTTGGTGAAGATATGTTAATTCTTGCCCCAGAATCCTCCCCTAATTCTGATTTTCCATTTTTATGTATTTTTTTAGAGTTTCATCTCTGAGTCTCAGGCTCTTGCTCTCTTGGCTGGTGTTCTACCACAGGGCCATGCTGCTCAAGCTGGCTATTTGATGGTTAATTGGCAACAGAGTCTCATGGCCTTTTCTGCCCAGGATTTGAACAACTATCCTCCAGGTCTTTCTTAGCCTCCTGAGTAGGTAGAATTACATGCTTGAGCCCTCAGTGCACAGAGCCCAATTAGGGTCTTAATTTTGCCAGTATATTTTAGGCTATCTTTCCATCATTATCTAGTCTACTCAGAATTACACCCATCACCCACAACCTTCTGAAATAGTGAGTTACCTGTGCAAACTGTTTCCAAGCGCCAGATGATGTAAGCTTGCCAGTTCCCGGCCTGTGCATAGCAGCCAGAGTGTAAATTTCTGCTGTGATTTTTTGCTTGGACCTCAGAAGAGCCAGTGTAGTCTTGGTGTTCAATCCTGATGGGTTGGGGTTACAAGAACTAATGCACCATGAAGCATAAACCGAAGATTTGAAGGTGGCCTGTTGGACGAAATTGGGTTTTGTATAATTCAAGAAGCACCAACTCACAGTAGTTGTTGTCCGCAGACTGGGGAACTGAAGAATCTGCTGGAAATCTGCCACATCTGTGAAAAGAAGTGTGGAGTTTGCCACATTCCCGCCAGGGCCAGAAGCCACGTGGACCAACATGCCAACGGGCATCTTCCGGCCCTTCCCTTCTTCTTCTTGCTGACTATCTCCCATTGGCAGTGAAGAACTTTGAGGACTCATGCTCATGTCTGAGGCTGTCTCATCAATATCTAATTCATCGGAGGACTCTCTGCTATCTGAAAGCCTTCTGGACTTCTGCCCAGAAGGGGGCGCTCTGGAACCAGAAAGCAGCTCCCTGCTGGGAGGGAATGGCTCCCTGGATGGCCCACTGGCAGATGGATAGTCTTGAGATGAGGAAGGTGACAGGGAGGAGAAGGAAGATGACCTAGACTGCAAGCCATCCTTTGGCTCAGAGGCACACCCTTGTCGAACCAGCTGGGGTTTCTGGGGGCGGGAGAGGCCCTTCTTGATGTCCGAGTTGGTGAGCTCCACCGCACTGAGCTCCTCAACTATCTGTCCGTACATCTTCTCTTCTTTGACCCGTTTTTGCTGCTTTGTTTCCATGAAGAGTTCCAAGCTACTGGCTGGAGACAGCATCCGCTTGCTACCTCCCAGAGAGGCGGCACTGTCTGAGGTGGAAGGTAAACATAGGGGGATGGAGGATTCTAAGCCAAGGGGTAGAGTCTGAGGTACTTTCCAGAGGGGGTATTTCTCCAAGCCCGCGTGCGGCCCCAGCACCTGGGCAATGTTAAATCCTATCCCTTGCATGGCCGCGTTGGTGACCAGTGTTCTTTGGGTCATATTCTCGTCAACTTTGCATATGACGATTGCAGGGCTGTTCTGCCCAAGTATCTGGGAGATGCTTGTGTACATGACACTGCCATAGGAAGGAACGTGTGTCTGGAGCCGAACAGGCACCACGGTTCCTGGGAGGGACTGCAAAGGCCCAGCATTTGCCGAGGCAAACTCTTCTTGAAGAAGCTGCTCAGAAGGAGTCTCCGTGGACTTACTGCTGGGTTCTGACGGGAACTTTGGAGAAAGGTTCTTTGAGTGTAGCCCTGATGTTCCTGAATAACACGGGTAGGTTTGCTCTTTTGTGTGCACGTAGTCTGCAGATTTCTTTCCAGTGTGTTCTGCAATGTGCTCTAAGGGATAGCTAGAATGGATCTCGGCCTGGAAAGAAGGCTTGCTGTAGCTCTTCTGAGGATGCTGGGTAAAGGAAGGAGGGAAGTGCGCCTGCCACCAGGGGGGCTGCTGAGTTGGTAAGTGAACCATGCAGACCGTAGGATACTGAAACTGAAACAGAGTGCTCTGGATTGGAGAAAATGGAACCGTCTCTTGATGTGCAAACAAATGTGGCTGCTCCGATAAGTGCTTACTTGTCATGTAGGACGTTGGCTGCAGCAAGGGATTTCTGGAAGGTTCCTGACTGTCCATGTGCATGATCTGAGGCTGGGCCAGGTGGAGCGGCCCGGAGCTGAGTGGAGCGCAAGGCCCCACGCCCTGCTTGCCTGGGTCCTCGGTGGGAAGCGGCGGAAGCATGGAGGACGGGCCGGGGTGCCACGTGGCTCTGAGGCCTGCGTGCAGTTGTTCCATCTGCTCTTGCTTGACGCCAGGGTCCACCCCAGCTTCCCCTTGTGCGATTTCTGGAGAGCCACTGAAGGAAGCCTGCCGCACCAGAAAGCATTTCTTCCTTTCCCTGGATGGGGACAGCGTGGAGGTGGATGCCCCGGCCACGGGGGCGTGGGAAAGGTTCCCGTAATCGAAGGATTTGCTCCGGATTTCCGGGACTTCCGTGGGGTGGGGACAAGGCATCTGCTCCGAGGAACAACGTCGCATCTCTTTCTGGTGGTGATGGCCCGGAACGGACAACGAGTAGGAGCCGGCGGGGACGGTCAGGAACTCGGAATGCTTCCCGAACTCATCCTGCTTGGGGGGGGCGGCGAGCTTCACGGTCTCCTCCCTCTCGAAAGACATGGAGAAGCTGGAGCTGTGCGACAGGTTGCTCTCCTGACTCGGGCTGCGGGAGAGGCCGGTGCCCGTGGACTCGAAGCTGGACTCCCCGGACGAGTGCTCCATGTCGGCCAGGCGCAGGCGCTTCTTCTTGGGCGGCAGCTTCTCGGCGGGGAGCTGGGAGAGGGTCTCGCTCCGCTGGGGCCACTGGAATTCCTCCACGGGCTTCTCGGGCTCCTTGCTGGGCGCCTCCTTTTCCTTCTCGGGTTTGTCGGGCTCCTCGGTGACGCGGATCTCGGGGACCTGGATGTTGTGCTGGCGAACCAGCCGCGGCTGCGCGTGGCAGGGCGGCGGCGGCGGCCCGGGCCGGGGCGGGGAGGGCTTCGGCCCGGTTCCCCCGCTCTCCGCGCCGTCCCCGGCGGCCGCCCACTCGGGGCTCGCCGGGGCTTCAGGAATCTCGCCGCCGCCGTCACCCATCTCCGAAGGGGAAGGGGCCTTCTCTTGGCCCGCGGCCGCCAGCTCGGCGGACTCGGACCTCTCGAAGGAGTTGGGGCGGCTCAGCGAGTTGGTGTGCTGGATCACGGAGATCACGTTGCCCGCAGGCTTCCGGCCCAGGTCCGACATCTTGTCGGAATCCGTGGCCGACGACTCTTCGGAGCCAAGAGACGGACTTCCGGAGGGCAGCGGGGGCCGGCCGTGGTCGAAGCGCTCCAGGTGCCCGGGGGAAGCGCTGTCGTGCCCCGCCAGGCCGCCGCCCCTGCCGGCCTCGGGCCCCGGCGGTGGCTTGGGGTCGTACTCGGCCGCCGGCAGGCCCCCGGGGGTGCAGATCATGGGCGTGTCCTCCTCGTCGCCCACGCTCTTCTCTTTGCGCCGCTTCCGGTTCTCGCCCGGAGCCCCGAAGGCGGAGGGCACCCCGGGCAGGGCCGCCGCGGGGTCCACCAGGTAGTCCCCGACGACAACCCCGTGTCGGACGGAGCCGAAGCCAGGCGCGTCGCGGTAGCTGGGCTTCGGCGCCTCCGCGTCCTCCCACTTCTTGTAGGGCTTCCGGCAGACCTCGTAGTCGTAGCCCACGCGGTCTCCGGAAAGCCATCTCTTCTCCTTGGAGGACGAGCCGCTGAGAGCCCGGCAGAGCCGGCCGGGGTGCTCGGCCTCCGCGTGCCCCTCCTGGACCGACGGCAGCTCGAAGGCCGCCTGCCTCCGGAGCATGCGCTGCGGGGGCAGGCCCACCGTGCCCGGGTAGAAGACGTCGTCGGACCCGGTCATCCGCTCGTCGAAGGAGTGACTTCCTCGCAGGGAAGGGGGGATGCTCAGGTTGGTGGCCGAAGAGGTGGGCATGGAGTTGCTCCGGATCAGGGGAGAGGAGTCGACGGGCGCTTCCAGGAGCACGGGGCCGCCGCCGGGGAAGCTGGGGGGGTACGGCTTGCCTTCATTCCTGACCGAGGGCGGCGGCGGCGGCGGCAGCGGCGGGGGCTGCCTGGCCTCGCTGTTGAATCGAGCGGAGGAGGACGTCAGCAGGCCGGCCGGGCCGGGGTCTGCCTCTGCCGGGCCGGACATCAGCTGTGAGATGGGGTCTTCGAACATCTGGACGTCTAACCTGGCGTGGACGGGAGGCGGGGGCTCGGCCATGCCCTTCCTCCCCGCGGGGCCGCGCTCGGGGCCCGGGGGCGTCACGCTGAGCGCCGTCCTGGGGCTCAGCCGACAGTACTTCCCGAAGATGATCTCCTCGTAGGACTTGGCGTTGGTGTTGGGCGGGCTTATCTGCTGCTCGGCGCTCTCGGAGCGGGAGAAGTAGCCCGAGTCGGTGCTGCCTTTGCTGTGCGGGCTCAGGAGGTTGAGCGACGGCTCGGAGTCTTGCCCTCTTTTCTCCGACAGCCGCAGCGCCAGCTTCTGTTTGACCGTGTGAGAGTCGTCCGCCCTGGGGTTGAACGACGGATTGGGGAGCACGTCGGAGCCGAGGTACGCAGAGCTCTCGCTGGGGAGCGGGATCCCACTCTTGGGGATGATCAGGATGGGTACCTTCATGGGCCCCCCCAACGATTCTTCCAGAGACCCGTGGTAGCCTCCGCGGCCGGCCAGGTCCAGCGGGATCCCGGGTGGGCCGGGGCTCATCTTGTCGGAGGTCTCGGCGAGGAGAGAGCTCTCCTCGTCGGTGTCTGTGCTCTGCTCGCCGTCGGAATGGATTTCTGCTTCCACGTCAATGAAACCCGCCTCGAGGTCAAGCTTAGACACGGCTGACTCTGTGAAAGGTACCAACCCCGCCTTAATGGCGTGGGCATGCGACTTCCTGTGCTTGTACAGATTGCTTTTTGTCTTGAAGGAGAAACCACAAGGTATGCATGGATATGGCCGCTCACCGGTATGGGACCTTATGTGTTTCTTCAGGACACTTGGTTTGGCACATGCCCTGCTGCAGTAAGGGCAAATGTACTTGCCGGGCTTTTTGGGTTTGTGCTCTTTCTTGTGAGCATCTTCTGCTTGTTCGATACTTTTCTGGGAGTATTGGCTATACGCAGGGTTCAGACTTGAAATCTTTTTTCTAGGATAACCACCACTGTGGCCGTGGAGAGGAAAAGGATATAAGTCTTCAGAGGCAACTGATGGCAAAGGGCCAGGGAAAAGCCACGGAGGGCTTTCGAGGCTCTGGTGTGGCTTGTTGCTGTGCATGATCCCCTGTGGCAACGAGGGCTGAGGGAAGGAGAGTGAGTGTTGGCATGAGTAAGGACTCGGACGGTGCGGTGGGTATTGCTTCTCGGTGACTTGCTGCAGCACGTCTCCAGGTGAGGCCAGCTTTCCAGAACCAAACAGTTGTGCTGATGCTGTGCTTCCAATCTGCTCAGGATCTAGCTGTGGTTGCCTCTGTCCTTCCTGACTGCCAAAAGTGCTCATCTTAATAACAGCTGATGGCTCTTGTCTCCATCTACCTGACACTTTATCAGTTTCTCCAGACCTTGAGGTAGCTTTTTGTCCTAGAGCTGTATCCCCAGTGTCCATTTTCGTATGCGAAGGTCTTAAGTGCTAATTTGTCTGAAAGCCGAGTAGACTCATGGAGTGTCTCCAAGGCTGTGCTTTTTAGAGCTTAGTGGCTTCCATGTTCCAGGGAGTCTGCAAACTTGCTGATGGCGGCTTCTCTTTGGAATCTTAACCACACTGTAGTCGATGGGCATTGGATGGGAATGTCCTTGGACCAGGCTAGAACACAGTTCTCTCCATCATAGAAATGTCCGTCCAAAAGCTAAGTGCACATCTACCAAGATTTCTTATGGCATTTGAATATATTCAACTAGGATGCAACTGGGATGACGAACAGTCTAAGAGAAATTTTGCCCATCAACTACAGCAAAGTTCAATCGCCAGTTTCACTAAGGTAAAAGGATGACCTGAAGGAAAAGAAAACACAGATTGTCATAACATGTATCAAACAAGATCTCACAACCAATCCTCAATAACCAGTTTGAAGTTTGGCAAGTTAAAAATGTTTTTAATTCCAAGGAACTAATTTTTATAGTAGCTAGATTAATTCCACAATTGAAGGGGATTGATTTCAAACTCAGAATTATGCCAGCAGCATTCATCTCTTTCATGTTTGAGTTGTGACCATCGTTTTATAAATAGTTTTTTTTTTTTTTAACTCTGGGCCTGGGCGCTGTCCCTCAGCTCTTCAGCTCAAGGCTAGCACTCTACCTCTTGAGCCACAGCACCACTTCCAGCGTTTTCTGCTTATGTGGTGCTAAGGAATCAAACGCAGGGCCTCATGCATGCAAGGCAAGCACACAACCACTGAGCCACCTTCCCAGCCCTATAAATACTTTTTACGTTTACTTAAAAACTATTTGGAGCCTAATAGTCTTGCTCAGTGTAAAACATGTGCTTAGCATGCATGAAAGCCCTGGGTTTCATTCACAGCATCCCCCCCCCCCACAAAAAAATGGAAAATACTTTTTAGACATTATTTGTAAGCCTTCACTAATAAATTTAAAGCTATTCCTAACCACATTTTATGATATGCATGTTGAAGTATATTACATATACCTATAAGGAGATATCTTTGTTAGTTCAAGTGGTAGAGTGCTAGCCTTGAGCACAGTGAGGCTTAGGGACAGAACCCATGCCCTGAGTTCATGCCCCAGGACTGGCATAAGCAAAACAAAAATGAACAGAAAGACAAAATCCCCCAAATTCTCAATTCTGCAATCAAAAGAAGAAGAATAGCAGATTGGATCAAAAGTAAGATCTAGCCATTGTTTGCCTTCTGTTGGGGGTTATTTTTGAATTGATTAAAGCTTCCACTAATTATGATATATGTCTTTTAATATATTACCTGTATGTCACATTTTTTGAATAGACAAAATATATTAACCTCTGATTTTAGATAAAAGGATTCAGATACATACATTTGTACAAAATAACATACCCTTAGATAGAAAGAGCCATCAAGGATGTCATAAAGGCCATCGAGCTAACTTATAATAGAAACTAGCCCTATTGCAAACCAAAAGAAAAAGAAAAGAAGCACAGTCCCAAGCATAGGGTCTTTCTTTCCTCTACCACCTCACAAATAGAATGTGGTCATTGAAAAAAAAACAAAAACCAGTGAAGTAGAACTAGATTAATTATAGAAGAATCAAAAACTTTGAAGACAGAATAAGAATTCAACAAAACAAAATGATCTGAAAACCTTCATAATGTAGAATTAAAGCCTATTTGGAAAATACTTTCAAGGACTACTTAAAAATGAAATGATTACCTGAACAGTTTGGCGTTCTTATGAGCATGATTGTCCTGACGCTTCCTAGGTACAAAATAAATGCAGTTAGGACAAGTTATTCCATTAAACCATAGCATCACTATATACAAACACAGGTTCTAATTTGCAGTTCATTATATGTAGGACTCACAGTGCTTTGTGCCCTAAAACAACAATAAGGAATGCTTTGGGATGCAAGAAGCCAGGGTAGCAAGCCTTGTGTTATCAAGAACAGCAGCCAGTCAGTGCTTTGTTACTGTTATTGTATCAAAAGAGTGAGAAATGGCTGAGAATCTTGTCCTGATAGAAAAAATATGAAAATGTTACAGTTAGCTGTAAGCCAAGAGCAAAATATATGAAGGAAAAAAATCAGGAAAGTAATCCTATTTATAATAGCTACAAACGGCATGAATAAATTTAGCCGAGAAAGTGAAAGACCCCTACAAAAAATTATAAAAGTGATTAAAATGGTTGAAGATGGAATGAAGGAGGAGGAAGAGGAGCAGGAGGAGCAGAAAAAGAAGAGGTAGAGGGACAAGGAAGAAGGATACCTCAAGTTCATGGATGGAGAGAATCCATTAAATGGTCATATCACAAAGAAATCTACAGATTCAATGCATTGTGTATAAAAATACAAATGCCATTCTTCAAAAACTAGAAAAAACAATCCTAGACTTCATATGGAGCCACAAAATTATTGAGAAAATAAAATAAAACTGAAGGCGTGTATTATTTGACTTCAAAATATACTACAAAGCTGTAGTAATCAAAACAAGATGGTATTAGCTACAGACAGACACAAAGAACATTGGGACAGACTAGAGAGTCTAGATATGGACAAACACATCTGTAGCTGATTTTTGAAAAAGGTATGAAGAAGACAGATGGAAGGACAGTCTTCAATAAGAAGTGCTGAGAAAACTTGAAACTCAATCCCTGTTTTTCACTAGGAATAAAAGAAAGTTACATAACAAACAGATTATAAACTAAGTGTAAAACAAGATGAACTACTGGGGAAACACAAAGGAAATGCTTCAGGATACTGGAATGGGCTGTTACTTTTTGAACAAACGGGAACAAAAGCAAGGATAGCCAGTGAGATTTTATCAAATGAAAAGCCTTCTTCATAGCAAAGGAAACAATCAACATAATGAAAAGACAACATACAAAATGGGAGAAAATATTTGTAAATGCATCTGACAAAGAGTTGTTAACTAGAATGCAGAAGGAAAAGGGAAAGGACTAAAATGAAAACCAGGGCTGGGAAGGTGGCTCAGTGGTAGAGTGCTTGCCTTGCTTGCACGAGGCCCAGGGTTCAATTCCTCAGTACCACATAAGCAGAAAAAGCTGTGGCTCAAGTGATTGAGTGCTAGTCTTGAGCTGAAGAGCTGAGGGACAGTGCCCTGGCCCAGAGTTCAGTCCCCATGACAGACAAAAAAAAAAAAGACATGGAAACCACTCCCCCCCACACAAAATAATCCAATTAAAACTGGAAAAGAACATACACAAACACACAAATAGCAACAGGTATATGACAACATGGTACCACTAATCATTAGAGATGGCAGAATCAAAACCACAGTGAGATACTGCATCGTCCCAGTGAGAATGGTTGTATCAAAATGCCTAAAGATAATAAGGATGTGCAGAAAAGTTCCTTGGCACTATTGGTGGGAATGCAGATAATTACTGTCACCATGGAAAACAATATAGAGGTTCCTTAATAAACTCAAAATAGAACTACTATATTATCCAGCAAGTCCATACATCCCAAAGGAATGAAACTCATATATCAAAGAGACATAGATCTCTCCTGTTCATGGAAGCACTGTTCAAAATAACCAAGAAACAGAACAACCCAGAATCCAACAGATGATGAATGGATAAAGAAAATATTGTATATCTATACATGGAATACTATCCAGCCCAAATAAGGATGAAATCCTGTCATTTCTGACAGTATATATGGCACTGAAGACCATAGGGTTTGGGACAAAGTAAAGCACAAAAAGACAAGAACCTCATGATCTCATTCATGTGGGATCTAAGAAAGCTGATTTCCTAAAAGTTCAAAAGAAAATAGTGGTCACCAGAGACAGGGTGATGAATGAATGGAAAGTTACAGTTAGGAGTGAGAAGTTCTAGTGTGCTATTGTGTAGAAGAGTACTTTATCAATGTGCTATGCATTTAAAAAAAATCTAGGAAAGCTTTTGAAAGATTTCATCATAAAAAGGATGTTTGTATACAGATATGTGGAACCTAATTTAAACATTTTGCAATGTGTACAAGGATCAATATTTCACGGTAACCACTGAACATGTACAGATTTTTTTATGTATGAATTAAAAATAAATGCAATTAAAAGTTTTAAAGTCAGAGTAATATTCCCTCTCCCTCTCTCTCTTTTGTGTGTGCTGATACTAGGGTTTGAACTCTGGTCCTTGGCACCGTCCCTTAGCTTTTCTTCCCCCCCCTCTTTTTTAGTACTTTTTTTAAAATTGTAAAACTACTATACACAGGGGTTACAGTTACATGAGCAAGGTAATGAGTACATTTCCTATTGAGCATTGTTGCCTCCTCTTCTGTTTAGCTCTCTACAACTGGAGCCACACCTCCACTTCGACTTCTGGAAGTTAATTGGAGATAAAGAATCTCATGAAATTTTCAGCTCAGGCAGGTTTCAAACTGCCACCCTCATATCTCGACCTGTCTCATGAGCAGCTAGGATTACAGGTGTTAGCCAATGATGTCCAGCAATAATATTTTCTGAGATTAGACTACTACATCAAAACTTTTGGTTTTTGACATTTATTTCTAATCCCCTAGATAGGAAAAGGTTCTGAATTGTAGCTTTTATTATACCTGTAGTCTTGAACATTGAAAAGTACAAATTTCCTTTTCAGGAAATTACATCACTGCCAAGTAAAGGAATCCTCTAGAGAATGGTAAATACATCAAGGTGAATGACAACTTAGTAACTATTAGATTTTAAGTGAATTCTCTACTCCCCTAAAAGAATGGTCAGTGAAATAACCCAAGAATCCTGAGGATGTCAGGATCCATTCATAGCAAATGTGAAAGTATGAAAGTTCATATGTATTGTCTCAGAAGTCCCATTGTTTGAAATCTATCAATACAGATTTTCCTGCACAAAGTTCACATAGATAGGTATACAAGGACTCTTAAATAAATTAACACTTGGGCTGTGAAGGTGTCTCAGTGGTAGAGTGCTTGCCTTGCATGCATGAGGCTCTGGGTTCGACTCCTCAGCACCACATAAGCAGAAAAAGTCAGAAGTGGCGCAGTGGTTCAAGTGGTAGAGCTCTAGCCTTGAGCTGAAGAGCTAAGGGATAGCACCCAAGCCCATTGTCCAAGTCCCACAACCAACAAAAAATAAATTAATAAAAATAAATAAATAATAAACACTCAACCATAAAACCAAGCCATCTTAAAAACCAATAAAGAAAGCTGTGGAGGAAGTAGTGAAATTAAAGAAAAGCTTATTGTGGCCTAGTATGCATCTTATAACAACAGGAGATAATTGAGAATGCCAGGCAGAATATTCACAGCAGTGAAATCACTGTTGTCAAAAGAAATAAAGGGTTTTTTTTTCTTACTTTTCACCTTTTAGCAATTTAAATGTGTTTGTCTGTCTTAATACAAATATGTTTAGCTTTTTAAATAAACTACTGGTTAATTTTTTAACAAGATGCTACCCTGCAAATGTACTGCACATTTCCAAACTGGAACTCAAATGCTACTCTTATTTCCATGGCAAATATGCCGCTTATTATACATCTCTACAATGATGGTGAGAGGGCAGGGGAACGTAAGTCTGCTCACAGGAACACCAGGCCTTCTGGGTGAGAGATCAGCAGCACCCAGACATTTGTAAGGACATCTGTGGTGAAAATGTCCTGGCAGTAGCTATGAATAAGAATGGCCAATAGACACATGAAGAAATGCTTAACCTCTCTAGCCATAAAAGAAATGCAAATCAAAACAACATTGAGATTCCATCTCACCCCAGTTAGAATGGCTACAATCAAGAACTCTAATAACAATAGATGCTGGAGGGGATGCGGCCAGAAGGGAACCCTACTGCATTGTTGGTGGGAGGGTAAACTTGTTCAACCACTTTGGAAAGCAGGATGGAGGTTCCTCAAAAGACTCAAAGCTCCCTTATGACCCAGCAATCCCACTTTTGGGCATTTACTCAAATGAGCACAAACAAGACCATACTAAAGCTACCAGCACAACTATGTTTATTGCAGCATTATTTACCATAGCTAATATATGGAACCAACCCAGATGTCCCTCAGTAGATGAATGCATCAAGAAAATGTAATACACACACACACACACATACACACACACATACATACACACACACACACACACACACACACACACACACACACACAATGGAAGCAGAGTAGGTTTATAAAGCAGCTGATGAAGAAACTAAGCCACAAACGTTTAACTCCAGTTGGCCAAAAAGTTTCTCAATGGAATTTTAGGTTTCCCCCTCTCCAAGTTTCCCTGTGAAAGACAAGGGATGGCTCACAATATTGCACTGCAAATTTACTTCCAACATCAAGGTTAGAAAACAAGAACATGCAACGCTGAACCTGGCCTAGTAGAATTTTATGTTTAACTATTTAAGGTTCATGCAGGCATAATCTGTGTTGGACTTTTGCAGGTAACACCCTCTAAAGTGGAGGGAAAGTATATTTCTAATTGAACAAAGAAATGTGTGAGTCCTTAGCTAGGACTCGGAGCTTTAAGCAAGTAATTACTTAGTTACTTTACAGGTTTAGTATTTTATACTGATATTAAAACAATGTATGAAATTCCATGTTAATACAGTTTGATCATCCTTAGAAAATCTCAAATCTGAAAGCCCCCCAAATCTGAAGGGTTTTTTTTTGGGGGGGGGGGAGGAGGGATTATAGTACTGGGGCTTGAACTCGGGGCCAAGACACTCTTTTAGCATTTTTACTCAATATACTCTTCCTTTTGAGCCATATTTCCACTTCCCATGTTTTGCTGGTTAATTGGAGATGAGTCCCATGGATTTGTTTGCTTGTGTTAGCTTTTAACCATGTCCTCAGATCTCTAGGATTACAGGGTCAATCACCTGTGCTCAGCTCTAAAGTTTTGTGAGCACCAACGTGATGTCACAGGTTGAAAGTTCCAGCACTGACCTCACATAATGGGTTGCAGTCAAAATACTAAAAATACTATGCAAAATTAACTTCCATAAGATATATATGAATTTTGTGTTAAGACTTGAGTCTCTTCCTCAAGGTATCTTATTGTGTATATGCAAATATTACAGAATTTGCAAATTCAAAACACTAAGGTCAGAAGCATTTCAGGTGCAGGATACTCATCCCACAGCAATAATAATGGCTGCTATGTCCTGTGCATTTACTATGTACTATGCTTTTAAAGAGTTTCATGCATATTATTTGATCTTCTTGACAGGCCTAGGCTATTGGTATGATTGCAGCCAGTCGACAGTGGAGGATCAAACTGAGTCAGAGTTCAATTGTTTAGCTGGCCTCTGAGCACAGGAGGTCTCATCTCCATTATTTGTTGAGTCTTGACCACAACTTAACCATATATCTTCAACATCCCCCCTAAATGCTTTCACTTGTCTGTATTTGAAATGACTCAACTTTTAATGTTTGAACTAAATTGCTTCAAAATGCCACTTCCTGAAAACAATCCACAATTTAAACAATGTCATCTATCTATAACCTAAGAAATTGTTTTCCTTTGTTCTCTGAATATCATTACTTTTTTTTAATTGTGAAAATACCATACAGGGGGTTATAATCCTCCTTTGTTTCTCCTTCCCATCCCTTCCCAACCCCCGCCCCCCAAGTTGTAAAGTTCGTTTTTGGACATAACATCTTGTACATCTCATTGTTGCAATGGGTCCACCTGTTTCCCTATTTAAACAATTTTTTTTTCCTCTCCCCTCCACAAATTATACCAACATCAACTACAATGAAAACAGGGGTATACAGTGGAGGAGGGACATACAAAGCAACAAAGAAATAATCTTATAAATGTGTTAGAAACAATCGCAAGAAAAAAAACATTTGAATACTTATCTTGGGGTTCATTTCCCTAACATCAACTTATCTGACCTTTTCTGCTTGTCTCAGACATATACTAGTTATTGCAAATAAGGGAAACCATGGGACCTTGAATATCATTACTTTTAAGGACAGTAAGGACCCTAAAGTAAAAACTAAACGTTTATCACTTTCCATTCTTCAGCTGACATGGAATATGTACTTTTGGTTAAAATGTAAGCTTCATGTTAAACAAGGACATATTACTCAATGTCAATATTGTTCTGTTGAAAGCAAGACTAAAATAACATTTAATACATTATTACATAGACAGTCTTAATTTAATAACCCTTATAAATTGGGCGTTTAACTTCTATAGTCTCTAATAATAAGTTAAAATCTTCATACCACAAACCAGAACACAAACACTTCTTACTCACTTAGGATATTATATTCAATAAGTGGACCAAATAAAATTCAGAAATAATCTTTCCCTATCTGAAAATTAGACTAAAAGATGAAGGGGAGGGATTGTTTTATAAAAAATTCAAAATCATGTATTTAGATGTTTAGAACAAAACTTCTCTAGAACATTAAGTTAGTTGTTGAATTTAAAGAAAAGAGCTAATCAAAAAGAGTGATGCTGACTACCAAACTAAAAGCAGTCACTTCCCTAAGGTCTATATGAGGCCATCCTTCAATGTTCTTAAGATTCAAACCTTTGATCTTGGTTAAAAAAAATTAATTAAGCAAATATTTTTTGCCAGGAAAATGTGTTCCTTCATTGGTAGACATTGTACAGTAGTCTACATGTGATGTCCCACTAATTAATCAGGACATTAAATGACATCCCAGACCATGTACTCTACTCCTGGGTTGTTAAGTTGTCATCTCCATTGGAGCTGGAGGTCCCACTAGTATGCAGACCCCTAACCTAACTTTTCATGTCAGTGAAAGTTTGAGAATGCTACCAGAAAGCTGGAAGTCAGTCCTGTTTCCACTAGATTTTAAATGTATTTGAGGAAACCATCACTCTCTCCAACACTTTATCTTTGGGAAGATTTCATTAACTGCTACCCATGAAAGTTACTTCCCTTGAGTTTCTGAGATACATGGAAAAAGGTAAGCAGGAAAGAAAACCAGTGGAGGGTCCTTCGGAGAATTTACTGATGATATTCATGAGCCATAACAAATGTGGATGAGTTCATTAACTGTTTGTCTAGAGTTGCTTTATCTTGGAAGTTGAAAAAACTATGCAAAAGGAATCATGAGAATTACAGATCTATTGTTACGTGTCTTTTTCTATACAACCTGGCAGAATTTCTGAGTTTCCTCAACTTTCTTTACTGTTTTGTCACCTTAATAAACAGAAAAATTCACTATAAAGCAACTGTACAGCTTTTGATAATTATATCTTTAATAAAATAAGAGATGATATATTTAATGTGACCTAATTTTCACCAAAATGACAAAGATTCTTGATGTTGTATTTTATTACTAAAACATATGAAAATGTTTTTCATATGGGAAAACAATTTTCAGATAAGAAAACAATTTTATAAGTATATCAAGAAAAAAGATCAACATTAAGCAGATCATTCAATCTAGGAAAATACTTTCTTTTTACTATAAATCATCAATCAATGTACCTTTATGTATTCAGATCTTTAGCTTAATTTTTTTCAATAAAAATCTATAGTAATGTCATTAATTATAGTTACATTATTTGTCTATGATCACATATTCATTTTTCAGATTCTTGACTACTATGTCAAAAGCAAATTTCAGTTTTTTTACCAACTGATCAGTTTTAAAATGTCCTATAAGAGCAATTCTCATGCAAAAACACAACAGCTAGTTATCATTTTATTCACTGGGATTTCTTTTTATGGTAACTAAACCCACACAAAGTCATTTTTGGCATCCATTGCCAACAAAGGAGCTGGCATTCCAAATAGAGCTGCACATTCACATTTAAAAATTTTCCCTAATGTTTTTCAGGGCTGTGAGGATAAAAGTCAGAGGACATGACTTTTGAGTGTCCCAGGGATGGTGCTACAGCCCCGTGGCACTCTCCAATCTGTATGAATAGGCTATATGGGTATTCAGAGGTAATGGAACTAAAGGAACTGAAACAAAGGGAAAGAACATGATGCATGGAAGGGCTGCCAGTTTTCTAAAAGTGTGCCCTCTCCTTGGCTACTCTTCATCGTCCCACTCAAATAAATCTGGCACCAAGTTAAGTGATTTTCTTAAGACAGGCCCCAAAAAGGAAGACCTAGAAACAGCCTACTGCATAAACCTCCTCCAAGGTCTCCTCAGGATAATGTCTGATGGGACTGGCAGTAAAGCAAGCTTCCCTAGTTCTTCATGCTAGGATATTTTGCTAGGAAAAAAACATACAGCTTCAGAAAATTAATAATCAGTACTTATCTGCTGGCAAAAGTCAAGTGACCATTAAATAATAAGATTCTAAATAATACTGGGGAAAAAATGATGACAACTTCTTTCTCTCTCTAATATTTAGTGAAATGAGACATTTTTGAAAATCAAAATGATAATTTGGTCTTTTCCAGAGAATGTGGCAGGATTATACTTACAAACAAAATATATGTCTTCTGGTAGCATTATGGAATGGCATTTTAGAAGTGATCTCCGTGTATTTGTTTAAAGCCTGGCATCAAGTAGCTAAAACTGTTTTATATGAATTCCTGTGCAGGTTAGAGCACTGCTGCTTTAACACACTGTGTAGCACTGCTGGATCACTGTCAGAGCACAGGGGCTCAGAGGGTACCAGACTAGAGAAAAGGGGCCTACTGGAAGGTATGACCGGTGCTACAGTCCAACTTAATACAGACTTATTTCCACAGATGATTTACTGAAGGCATTTCCTGAGAGCCAACTTCATTATAAATGCTCCTGTCAGTAAAAATTCCTGTAACAACCTCAATTCTTCCTAAGGTGAGCAAGCTGCTAATAGGAAAAGAATGCTGTATGTTATACAAAAGCCTGACAGACAATTCAGAGAAGTTTTGGAGAAAGTAAAAACTGACTTGACATATTTACAACATAACTGGATAAAAACTTAAACCTGGGATTCAAAGCTGAATTATATTCTTGCCTATGGCTGTAATGCACATACCACACAGATCTCTGTAGAATGTGCACACATAGGCAAGATATTCATAACTTACCTTGATTCAGCATGCTGCTTTTAACATTAGGTCATTAATGTTTTTACAATCTTTCTGAAATTGTGATTTCACTTTTCCAGTGTGGCCTGTTTCCCCAGCATACAATAAAAATTATTACCATAAGATTACTAAGGATGTACTATGAATTGCATATGGAAATAAACACTTCCACCAAGAAACTCTTTCCAATGGGTCTATCTTAGTAAAGAAGAATATGATTAAAACTGGTCTATTATGAAAAACAAAATAAGTAAAATTTACACAGCATTTTTCTCTCTAACTGCAAATACATATTGTTTTCCTCTCAGAGTTGATGATAAAATCCATTAATATAGAGGCTCATGGTAGGCACAAACTCCTTTTCAAGGTAAACAGTAAAAAAAAAAAAAAATAGAAGGGCCAGGTGCTGATGGCTCATGTGTTAGCTACTTTGGAGGCTGAGATCTTAAGGATAATGGTTTGAAGTCAGCCTGATCAGAAAACTCTGTGAGTCTTATCTCCAATGAATCAACAAAAGGCCAGAAGTGAGCCTGTAGCTCAAGTACTTGAGAAGAGCAACCTAGAATAAAAAAAGTCAAGTAAGAGCTTGAAGCCCTGATTTCAAGAGTGAGTACTGACATGCACGCATGCACGCACACACACACACACACACACACACACACACACACACACAAACACCAATTAAAAAAGCAATAGAAGAAAATTATGAATTTCAGTTATTAACCTGTTGTCTTCATATCAATAAACTGCATCACAACTGTCTTTGCTTCCCAAGATGCCAACTTTCTCCACAGGAACTCATGCACAACTTCTGGAAATCTGAAGGATGAATAAGAACATTTAAAAGATGCTGATGTTGGAATTAACTTTATAGGCATATTTATTCTGAAACTGTCTGCTTTTAGGAAATATAACCTGGGACTGCAGCTCTAGTTATGTGGTTTTTTAAAAAAATTCCCTTTCTTTTAATATAGTGTAAATCTTTTAATTATATTAAAAGGAAATGCCTGTAACAGAATGGAGGCAATTACAAAAATAATGCTGGAGTTAAAACTTAGTGTATTGGAAACTAGGAACCCACAGTGGCCCAGGCTACCATTCTGCCTCAGAGCTGAGATTTCCACACAGCTCCTTTTGAATCATCATCAAGTAAGCTGCATAGTATGCTTCTCAGATAACCTCACAGCAAATTCTTTTTTCAGCTGTTACGTTCTGTGCTAAAATTAATTTCTGAACTAGGAATCCAAAACAACCAAAGTCGAATCTGAGTCTTCAGTGATTAGTATGAAAGAAAGCGAGAGATCTTTCTCGTACTTAGAATTAATACTTATCTAAATCTAATCCAAGGAAATGCAAAGAAGATAAAGCTACTTAATCTAAGTAGATTAATCAGTCAACAATCTGAAGCTGGTTTGGCTCTTAATAGCCACACAAAAAAATGTCATCAACCACCTAGTGCAGCCTAGCACAGTGGTTCAGAGCAGAGGTACCATACTCAAAAGGCTGAGGACTGCAAGTTCAAGGTCAGCCTAGGCTACATGGTGAGACTAGTACATTGTCCATAGATGGTCAATGTATATTTGTTGTCTCTTCAAACCAACCAACAAGCAACATTGTTGTTTCTTCCTGACATGGTGATTCCAATATCCCTTGCAAAAAGATCTAAAGCACTGAAACCTGACAGTGAAAATGTGGTTCCCTGAGGACCATCTAGTAGTAGCTTTCCAAGGAAATCGTGTTTTCCTTTTCCTCTCCTTTCTGCACATCACCACAGTAGGACTTTGGGACACCCTGTGCACTTTGAGACATGAATCATCATAGGCAAGTAGGCCCACTTGGTTCCTCAAAAGACACAAAAGGTGCAAAAATAGCGTCTGCAATTGAAGCAAGAGCCACGTCAGCAACCAGATGAATGTGGGTGGTCAGATAAGATTCTGCTTCTGCAAAGGGCAAATTATTAAGCAAATGTTAGAATTATTTTCTTTTTTAAACTCTTGTTCCTCTCGCCTCAAATCAACCATTTCCAAATCAAAAATGGCAACTGGCAAGCTCTACTCTTCTGGAAACTGGGAGGTCCATCAATGCCAAAGAATATGACTGATTATCACTGAAGGCACAGTGGTGGTTTCAAAACAAGAACAGACACAATGCTTAAGATAATTATCTATACACCTTTAAAAATCTTTCATATTGTTATCTTCAAAAGGTTTCACATTAACATGCCCATTATGTGTACAATGCATCTTGATCAGTCACCCAAACTTCCTTCATTCTCCCTCATCAATCCCATCCTCACCCATTTCAAGTTTCCAAGTACATTTTTCATGTATGTTCATTAAATATTATGACTGGATTCTCTACAACTATATTGTGTGTGTGAAAGAGTGGAGGGGAGAAAGAAGGGGGGGGGGAGATAGACACACACACACACACACACACACACACACACACACACACACACACACACACACACACACACACACACAGACCTGGGTATTGAACTCAACCTGCGAGCTGTCCTTAAGCATTTGTGGCTCATGGCTAGTGCTCTACCACTTGAACCACAGCTCCACTTTTAGCTTTTTGGTGGTTAATTGGAACTAAGAGTCTCATGCACTTTCCTGTCCAGACTAAACAGGATCTGACAGCCCCGATCCTCAGATCTCTGCCTCCCTAAATAGCTAGGATCATAGGTATGAGCTGCCTAGCTTTTTACATCTATACTTTTAACACATCAAATAATGTCTCTTTTTTTTTAAGTAAAATAAAATGGCCTCAAACAATCTGTACCCTGGTAATATAAACTATTCTAAAGGAAAATGTATTTCTCAGATTAACAAGATCATTGAGTTGTTTTGCAATTTAAGCAAAATGGGCCATGAATCTATTAAAGATACAACTATTATAGGGAGCAAAACTTTATCATATCCAATGACCACATGACTGACAATCCTATAGTCATTAGATCTAAGAGGCAAGAAGTGAGGGGAAAGAGTTTAATTTTCAGTAAACTAGTACTAATCCCAAATCTTTATTCCTACCAATGGCCTCCATAAACCAACCACAGTGTTTAAGCCTTCCTTCCCCCTTAAGCTGTGACTAAGGCAGCATTCTTGATTCTGACTGGGACAGTGACTCATAGAAATGGGAAATACTGAAATTTCAGAGCATGGATTAACACGCTCCTCTCTCTCTCTCTCTCTCTCTCTCTCTCTCTCTCTCTCTCTCTCTCTCTCTCTCTCTCTCTCTCTCTCTCCCCCCCCCCCCTCCTCTCCCCCACGCCCTTTTTATTGAATAAGAGAATTTAAAAATTGGCTCAAAAGACATGACTACATGACTCATAACTTCTTTAATATTGAGTTTTCCTTTAAAAGACAAAAAAATCAACACTAACAATGCCATGTTTATCTTTTACCTTATAGATACTCTCAGGAGTCTTTAATTTCCATTTTCTGCTTAGCAAACACAAAATGTTTCTTTCTTTTTTTCTATTTCTCCCTATTTTGACCCTGTTATAATAACATAAATCCTTGATAAAACTTTAAAAAAATTAAAAGAAACTCCCCATAGTGTTATTTTAAAGCAAAGATCCAAATGATACAAATAAGAAAGATATGACCCCAACTAGAATGATTTTGCCCCAAATCACTTATATAACAAATTGAAATCAGTAATGGTCTCTACAAGGGAGGTAATTATTCTTACTAAGAAAATAAAGACATGCAGATACCATCTCAGAAATTTTTTGCATTAATTCTGAGTTTTGTGCCTCAGTTTTTACATCATAATAAAAGGAAAACGTATTTTCAAACAGGTCTTCATAATATATGCTCATGCATGTTCCCTAGAAATGAACAATTCACACAGTATCCTACATAAACAATGTAATATAAAATGGTAGATTATCATTACTTTAACTTTTACTTCAAGGTTATTAGATTTATAAGAACTTACTAGGCAGTGAAATCTTAATATTTAAAAAAACTAACAGGTTTTCAGTAATAGTGTTAACAAATCTTGTAAAATGTCTCCAAGTCATTTAAAATTCATTTCTATATATATATGAGGTGAAAATTACCTTTCACTTTCCTAAGTGCAGCTGATTTTTCTGAAGGTTAATAGACAAGACCCTTAAAAATAGTTTCCATTCATCCATCTCTTATTCCTAAGAAAAAAATTTTAAAGTTTGAGTATCATTGTTTCTATCCACATCATTTCTCAGCCTTCCTTTTGGAAGACAAAATAATCCTTGGCATTAACTATTGGAGTCTTGAAGGTTATTATCATTTAAGATAAGTGAGGATAAAGTTGGGCTAATGATTTTGATGAGAAGATGGATAAGACATTTGAAAAATATCCACTTGTGGTAGGATTCTTTATTTTCATTACCTATTACTCCAAATTTAAAGTTATGGTTTAACATGACTTAGATAAAAGCTCCAAGATACTAAAGTTTTGATGGCAAACCTACAAAGCATATTAAGTATGTTGTACTTGTTTTCCTGAAGCTACACAAATACTGACTACATCGTAATTTTATGAAAAGAGTTGGCAAGATAAACCAATTATACATTAGGTGAAATTTTCATAATAAAAAAGTAAACAAAGTGGTTGAACAAGTTTACACTCCCACCAACAATGCAGTAAGGTTCCCTTCTGTCCACATCCCCTCCAGCATCTGTTATTATTAGAGTTCTTGATAATAGCCATTCTAACTGGGGTGAGGTGGTATCTCAATGTTGTTTTGGTTTGCATTTCTTTTATGGCTAGAGAGGATGAGCATTTCTTCATGTGTCTACTGGCCATCCTTCTTTCCTCTTCAGAGAAGTTTCTCTTTAAGTCTTTAGCCCACTTATTTATTAGAGGTTCCTCAAAAGACTCCACATAGAGCTCCCCTATGATCCAGCAATTCCACTTTTGGGCATTTACCCAAATGATCACAAACAAAACCACACTAAAGCTACCAGCACAACTATATTTATTTCAGCCTTATTTACCATAGCTCAGATATGGAACCAACCCAGATGCCCCTCAGTAGATGAATGGATCAAGAAAATGTGGTATATATACACAATGGAATTCTATGCCTCCATCAGAAAGAATGACATTGTTAGGAAATGGAAAGACTTGGAAAAAATTATATTAAGTGAAGTAAGCCAGGCCCAAAGAAACACAGGTCCCATGGTTTCCCTTATTTGCAATTACTAGTCTATGTCTGAGACAAGCAGAAAAGGTCAGATAAGTTGATGTTAGGGAAATGGACCCTAAGATATGTATTCAAATGTTTTTTTCTTTCATGCAATTGTTTCTAACACATTTATAAGATTATTTCTTTGTTGCTTTGTATGTCCCTTCCCCATGGTATAACCCCTGCTTTCACTGTATTTGATGTTGGTATAATTTGTGGAGGGAAAGGGAAAAAACAAATTGTTTAAATAGGGATACAGGTGGACCTATTGCAAGAATGAGACGTACAAGTCGTATGTCTAACACGAACTTTACAACTTGGGGGGGTGGGAGGGTTGGGTTTCGGGGGGAGGATGGGATGGGAAGGGGAAACAAAGGAGGAGGCTACAATGCTTGATAAGAAATGTACTCATTATCTTGCCCAGTATTTTCATAATAAAAAAAGTAAACAAACATTGAGTAAATTTCATGGAAAACTAAGATATGGCATCTGCATGCTCAAAGGATGAGCATGACTCTTTGTCCCCTATAAAAGAAAGAGGCCACTTTAATTCCATACGAAGGGCTAGAAAAGATTCCAAATTAGTGGTCAAAGATGGGAGATGGTCCCTGAATGAGAAATTGGTGTTAAA